ATAATAAATCATTCTGCCATTTAAAAATCCTATTGATTCCTTGTTCATGTACCAGAAAGTCACGTGTTCATAAAATACTATACACATAATTTCTGATCCTCTATATTGAAGTATAACATAAGTCTTACAGAGAAACTTAAAAAGATTAAATTATGTGCTATGACTTCCTTGTTAAACTGTTTGTTTATGAAGAATTTGAACTCAGCATGACAGCAATGGTAATGCAAGGGTCTGCAGAATTAGGCCAACATCCAGTTCTAATATTTTATGTAAACCAAAAGTGACTTTGAAGCTGGAAAAATGCTTGAATTAGCAATATATTTTTTCCTGAGTAACTTAAACTTGTGTCTTCATCATTATGAAAATAGAATAATATGTTTCAATCCTTTTGAAACTCTGGGCTAAAGAAGCAATCACATTAAAATGTATTAAATTCTATATTTACAACTATAAAGGGAGATTCTATAAGAATCTTTCTTTTGTTAGTTATCAATGGTTGATAAATACAGTGGAGAATGCCTCTCCATTTAAAGTAGAGATAATTTGGAATAACAGTATATTTGGAACGTAAAGGCATAATTCTTGGGTGGAAATCCTAACTCAGGGGTTATGATCTTGGTAATATTAGTAACAGACTGGAAATGACAGTACCACTGAGGGTCACTACTCCTTACATTTGCTTTCTTCTCATCTTTTAAATCCAATTTAACCTGAAGCATAGTGTAATTTAAAAGCCAATTTAGATAAATTTTAACATTTAACACATTAATAACACATGAATAGTGATAAAAATAATGTAATGCTACTTGCAGACAAATTTGCTTGGTATTTGCAAACAGACACACTTGGAAGTGAATTAAAAATCATTGCATAAGGACTGTAATAAACTGGTAGCATGAACAAAAGAGACCATTTATGATGGAAGAGTCTTCTATGTGTAACGGACTGTAATCAACTGCATATGTGTCTTTCACTGTTTAGCTTGTCATGCTTGAATAACATATTGACATTGCTTTTATTGGGATAAACCTATGTCCAAACATCAAATCAGAAAGAAAATCGTATGTCTGGATAATCGATGTGTTCACCTATTGCAGTTCTTAAATCTCAGATTTGACTCAAGTGTGGGGCTTAGCCCTGGGAAGCATTGAAGCTCAGTGGATGCCTCTGAGTAAAACAGCTTGCCCTACACGCATGCAGCCTTGAGTTTGAATACCAGAATCTGTGTAAAAGCTGAGTATTCATTATTAACATCTATAAAAACAGACAGACAGAGGAAAGAGTATCCAGAAGTTCCTGAACAAGTTAGCGTGACAATTAACAGATAAAATAAACAAAAACAAAAAAACAAAAACAAAATAAAAGTTAAGAGTTTCTGTCTCAAACAAAGAGTCATTCGAGTATCTTCTCTAACCGCTACATGCATGTGACACACACCCAGGCTCCATTCATGCATATAAGTGTGCAAGTGTGCACAGAGATATTTCATGCACAAATACACTAATAAAAATTTGAAAAATTTGCAAGAGCAAGACAGGTGCTGATATGAGGAAAACTCCCCCACCCCAGCGTTTATGATGAGTGAGTAATTACACAGACTGCCGTTCCCCTCAGCCTCACCTGTAGAAGGCCTTGTCAATCCAATAGAGTTGAGACTTTGACATCTTTGTCATGCTCATGCCCATACCAAACCACACATAGACTCAGGACTTCTTCCACCCAAGGCCTCTTCTGCTCCCCACAGTGAATAATAGTTTAAAGTTTAAAGGTTCTGCTGGCAGTGTGTATATATTTGCAGCATGATAGTTTTCTGAAAGAAAGAAGATGATGGGGGGAGACTCCATAACTTTGGAACCAAGCCTTCACCATAAGAGCTTGTATATAACATTCAATATCTAAAAAGAACTCAGAGTGCACATTACTTTAACTTCAGGGTTTTTTTTTCTTTTGTCAGAAAAGAGAATGGAAATTTAGAAATGGATGCTTGGCAAAATAATCTTATACCCGATACTAAATGAAGTGAATATTTCATTATTCTTTATTGCTAGCATGTAAATGCTAATGGTTATTCTTTCTGTAACAAATGACTTCCCAGCACCCTTGCCATTTCAAGATAAAGACAGAAATACAGCTCTGAAAGTCATTTTGTACTGAAGGACTTAGGGGGCATTGTGAGCTTCAAGAAAAGCTTTGCTGGGTGCAGGAGGTTCTGCACTGAACTGCAAAGAAAGCACAAGGGAAATACTCTAAGTTAAGTGTCCAATGTCCAGATCCCTGAAATCTCATGTAATTTATTTGCACAGAAGGAATATTTCCCTCTGTACTGCTATTGTTGCCTTATCTTGGAATACATTGCTCACCGTGATTGATTATAGCCCCTGCAGTGGCATTCAGTTAGCTGCAAATGCTAAGGTTTCTGAAAAGAAAAATGAGAATCTGTTTTCTTGGTTTAGAAAACATCTATATCTCACATGTATATAGCAATCCTAATAAATAACATAAAAATGACGATGCTCTAAAATCTTTTTCTTTAATGCAAAGAAGAATTAATAATGTACTTTATTTACCAGAAGTTAGTCATACAGGATGTGTGCAGGCACTTTAAGATGCTTCCTCGTCACAATAATTCTACATTCTTCCAATCATTATGAGATATTAGAGTTTTAATTATGTACCTGAGAGGATTTTTAATGAGACTAAATGCCAGTAAATGTCAAGGATGGTCATTGCTTATTTGAATGTCAAACACTGGAACAATAATGAAAATTTTGTATCTCTTTATCTGATTAATTTTGACTGATAAGATAACAGTCTTATCACAGATAATTTTGCTTCCTATAAAAACATTTTAAAATTTCATATGGATCCTCAAATCAAAGAAAATTGCATATTAATTTCTGATGCAGAAAAATAAACTCTCAATTATCATATGTCTTATGTTAAAGGTATTCCAAATATCATTGGCTATAAATATAGGAGTAACAGACTAGCTAGCAAGCATCCCTTATTCTCAGATAAGTGCATCCACTTAAGGGAAATTGGTCATTAAAGTCATGATTTGTTGTTAAGCTTGATTCGTGTCGTGGCTGTGTTAGTTTGATTAGAACACAAGGGCATGTCACCAGGACACTGCATGCTATAATAGTGTGGGTATGTAAATGAAGGTCATTCAAGTGAGAAAAACAGCCTAGTAATATCGAAGCAAGGTCATGGTGTTCCCTACATATAGAAAGGAGGGCTACCCACTGTAAACTGAAGACAGATTAATGGAAAATCACAGAACACAACAGAACATTTTCCTACTTACTCTGTTCCAAAGCAGTAATTTCTCCTTCCCACTTGTCTTCTGAGATCTCTGATGCTGCTATAATAAAGTATAGGAATCACCGTTTTGTATATGTTATACATATTCCTATCCCTTGCCCCTCTCTTATAGATGCTTTTACTTGTAGGATATGGCTATGTTGTTTATCTAAATCATGTTTGCTGAAAATTCTAATAGTGTGAAGTCCCCTGCACTCACCATTTGCTTGCTCCATGGATGTGGACGAGTTCTTCAATTTTTCTACACTTTGTGATATAACCTCCTCACCTGAAGACCTGAGATAATCCCCGCTGTATTAACAGTTACACAGTGCTCATAGGTTATTTTGTTGTTTGTTATGCTTTAAATTTTTATATAGCTTTTGTGTGAATCATACAGCCAAATCCTACTCATCTCTCCCCCCCTTCCTACTCATCCTTCACCCTTGCAACCTTCCTTCCAATAGAGAAAAAAACAACCTTCCATAGAAGCTGTAGTGTCACAATGTGTCCCACAGTGTATCACTTTGTCCATACTTCTTTGCTTACAGATGTTTAATGCAATGGCTCATTGTTCTAGTATGAGGCCTCTGACTTCTGCTACTCAATACTTGAAACTTACTAGGACTTATTTGGATATTTTGTTGTTGCCCAGTGCTATGAAAATCCTGTAGTTTTGAATCTGTAGAACTGGCTTTTTTGTTCAGTTCATCAATGGGCCAGTTCAAAGCTCTGTATCTTGGCCTGAGAGGTATCTTAGCTGGCAAACCTGCCAACCTTCCTGCTTTCATATTCTTGGGGACAGAACACCAGCAATCCAGCTCCGACGGCCAGTTCTACCCTATTGTCTAGGTGAGCTTCAGGGTCAGCTCTCCCAAGTTTTGTAGCCAGTGAGGGACACGGCCAGTTCTCTCACTCTCATATCTCTGGGGCCAGCGATCCTGCCTGCCATAGATATCAAGAGACTAGGGATTTAGGAAGGCACCTCTCCCTCATCCTCACCCTCACCCAGCAGAAAGACAGGGCCAGCTCTCCCACACTCATACCCTCTGGCTGGCTTACTCTAAAACCCCATATCCAGGGACAGATGTGCTGTCAACAAGAGGGCTGCAGCAGGTGGAAAATAAGACCATTCTATTGATCTCTAGGCCAGCTCTCCTACCTGCCTTAGGTAGCAAAGAATTATACTGTACTGAGTTTTGTAGAGGACAAGAGGCATCAGGCTATTCGTCACTACTCTCGAGTCTCCAGTTCTGCTTGTCTACATTATGCACTCAATCTTCTGTTTCTCTTTCTGTTCCATTTCCCCACTACTTACTTGCTCCTATTGATGGTGCCCCAGGTTGCCGAATGCTTGGGGCCTTCTCAGGAGTGGTCTCGGGAGTTTTATGCGCAGGCATTATGGCACCAGGCAGGAGTCATCTTGGGCATTGCTTGCACCTGCTGTGGTACCCGACTAGTGGTCATCTCAGGCTAGCTCCCTGCCCAGGCCCCATGATGCCAATCTGGTGCTCCCTCTTTGCTTCGCTTGCCCATGTGGCCCCACGCGAGGGTTGTTTGTCTCAGCTCACACTAGCCTGGGGCCCTAGTCCAAGTGGCTCCTTCTAGCTCCATCTTGCTTCCAGTAATGGGAGCCATTATCCAGATCCGTGTGGCACTGACAGGTGTTCATCTCAGTCTTGCTTTTTTTTTCAGGGAATTTTAGACTGCTGATCATTCAGATGTTCAAAGTTCAGAATACTGAATGTAGACATAGCCTGTCTCCTCTCTGCCACCTACTGACATGCATGTGACAGGGCAGCCACACTTGCCATGCTTCAGGAGCAGATTATGTATTATATCTTATTCTGGACAATTTTATCGTAATAATCCACCCACCATTCTAACCTTGTGATAAGTGCAACATAGGAAACTGACACACAGAAGTTCTGGAAACTTAACATAAAGTTGCACAAATAGTTTATGGCAAATCCAGACTGAAAGAGTCTGAGTGAGAAGCCTTCTTTGGTATTAAAATTCTTTCTTATTGTATATAAGGCCTTTTTCCATTGTGAGGATTTTTGTCTGTAACTATAAATCTAATCATGAGTTGTGAGACTATAGGTCCTAGAAAGGATCTGCTGTTGTTTTTGTAAATGGCCGTACTGTCAAATTATTTTCTAAGTATTGTATGTATGTGTCTACATATTTTATCTGCTTTCAACATCAGTAAAATGTTTCATAGTTTGCAGTAATTAATGTGGAGAGTCATAGCTGATCAAAGTGACTGGTATCAGTAACGGTGGAGTGCTCCTCTGTGACTGAATCACCCCTATCAGTCCCAACCACATCCAAGGCTCAGGGAACATCTCAGAAGAAAGAAAGCAAAGACTTCAAGAGCTGGAGAATACAGAACGGAACCATAAAATCCTGAAATTTGTATATCGCACACGTCAACTCACAGCGACGGTTATATAAACAAGACTTGCAGATCAACCCAGTCAAAATTCCCAAATGGATGGGAGAAAGCCCCCAAAGCTGTACCCATACAAGAAGAAAAACTGAAAATTAATTGAAACAGCACTTTCTTTTGAAAATGTGTGGTAGACCAAGCAGAGCGGGCCACCCAGAACCCCCTCTGACTGCCGATCTGAATTCTTGCTTAGGCTGCGAGGCTAAGCACTGCAAGGGAATATAAATAAAAGTTAAAAATATCTCTCTAGGTTCCCTGAGGGACAAGCCTGACTGCATAGGGTTTGATCTCAAAAGTATCCCCTCTCCAGGAAAAAGACATCGGGACAGGTATGGCCCTCATGCCTCACTGGACAACAACAGGGGGACCGGAGCCATTACAAGGTCCCCTTCAATTATTGGAGGTCAGGCCTCTATCCCCGCCTTCACAAGATTAGAATCGCCACAGCCCTTCTATACTTAGAGAAGGGAAGAGATGTCAGGGACATCCCTGCTTACACACTGAAGGCCTAAAACCAGCCATAAGCGTAAAATCAGCAAGAGGCCTGTCATACATGTATACTAACACCAAGTCTTGGGTCTCTGTGGAAAAGCATTGAAACAGATGGCTATAAGCTATTGTAAACAGGCAGCTTTCATGGAAATTTACCAGCCTGAGGAGTATAGACCTTGTTAATAGGTAGCCTTGGCAGACAATACCAACTTAGATAAGGACAAGTGAGTCATAGGCAGAGTCATGGCGACCTGTCCCCTGAACCTTCACCCAGCCGATACCCGGTTCTGAAGATATCTGTATTCCCCCTGAACACCCATGCTCCAGTGTCATCCCCCTCCCCATGTCCTGCCTTTCTGTGTTTATAACCCCTGTATGAATGAATTGCAATTTGAAAAAAATAAGTAAATTATTAAAAAAAAAAAAAGAAAATGTGTGGTAGTTTCTTACATCTCAGTAGATGGCCAGACATCCAAGCACTCATAGAGAGCACTAATTAGACAGCAGTTCTACTACCACTGCTACTGCTGCTGCTACTGCTAATAATAATAATAATAATAATAATAAAATAGAGCACATGGAATTGCAATCATGTTGGGTATGCATCAGTCGAGAAGGCTATAGGGAGGTGGTGATGGTGGACTATGATCAAAATATGTTGTGTATGTATGATATGTATGTATAATGTATGTATAATAATGTGTAAAATATGTATGATAATGACAATGAATAGGTAGCACTTTTAAAACCTTAATTGACCTCAGAAAATTTTTGTACATTTTGAAGAATACACACCTCAGTTTTGATTATACCAGTCCCTAGAATATGGTAGAAAGTCAACATCTAGTACAAGTTATGGCGATAATACTTCACTTATTTATTGTAGAGATGAAGTTTAATTTACTTGCTTGTTTTTGTAACATTAACTTCAGAGTTATTTATGTATTTTACACTACAGATTTTATTCCCTTCCTGCTCCACCCTCTGTTCCACATCCCATACCTCCTCCCCACGCCCCTGTCTCCAAAAGGATGTTCCTATCTCCCCACCCCACCAGACCTCTAAACTCCCTGGGACTTTCAGTCTCTTGAGGGTTAGGTGCATCTTCTCTGATTGAACCCAGACCGGACAGTCCTCTGCTGTATATGTGTTGGGGGCCGCATATCAGCTGGTGTATACTGCCTGGTTGGTAGTCCAGTGTCTAAGATCTTGGGGTCCAGGTTAATTGAGATTCCTGGTCCTCCTACAGGGTGACCCTCTTCCTCAGCTTCTTGACATCATTGCACATAGAATTTCTTCTCATTTTATTGATATTGGTTCCATGTAATTATATTTTTCTTCAGTTATCTTTCTTCAAGATGGTGTCTTGTATGTTTAGTTGATATTACTAATTTATTATCTTTTCTAACCACTAGTTAACATGTATTTTGTATCATATATACTCAGCATGTATGACCTAACATTCCTTTTCAAGGTTAAACCGGTTTGTGTATTTCTATTGAATTCTGCGGTATTATTGGTCTTTCACTAAAGCATGGTTTTAGAATCTTTATTTGATTTCTAAAATGCGTGCAGTGGCTGTCTTATAGAACTCCCAATTAATTATGATCCTGAGGCTTTTTGTTAGGTTTGTTTTTCATTTCTTCCAGAAATTTGGCTCTTATTCCTTTTTTTTCAGAGTATATCAAATCAGAGATTATATGATATTTCTCTTTTTCTTCCCCAGGAAGTACTGCTTTGAATTTCAACACATTTAAAATAAACTCTCTTGTGACCTACGTGAATTCTTAATTTAGAAGCTGAAATGGATTCTACCCTATCACACAGGATTCTAATTACCCACTTAAGTCCATCTAAAGAATGGATAATAAAAATCGAGGGTGATTTCAATTTTGATCTGTCACTACAGAGATTTTATACTCCATGAAAAGTGAAATGGGGTTAGCAGGGGCAAGCCTGGTGAAGATATTTTTGTGGCTGTTCAAATCTCAACACCTTATATAAACACAGAGGTCTCTGAGAAATCACTCATTGAATATAGCTTTGGGACTTTAGGGGAAAATATGTTTTATATTGTATAGGAAACATACTTTTTTGCACGAAAAGCATCAAAAGTAATAGCTTTATAAATTTATTTAGAGTCAAAAGTTACAGACACATTTTTCTAATTTAGGATTTGGGTTTGGTTATTAGCCTTCATGTAATCTCAAGGCAGCTTGTGCCTCTCTAAAACATAATGGAAGTACGTCATGATGCAATGCTAGAAATATAGTCAACGATATTAATTCTTATTTAGAGTTTGATCTTTGATTATCACATTAATTGAAGACAGGAACAAGAGTAACAGGTACTATGTGTGCAACATCTAATGCAATCAAGATACATAAATAATCAATATAACCTGGCACTTATGGCCCACTGTTTTCCTTATTAAAGTTTATGTAAAGAATCTGCAGTAGATCCATGTATAAGTTTTGATGTCCTTTTTAAATTGTTCTGAGACTAAATCTTGTGCATTTAGTTCAAAAGAAATAGTGTCAAACTTGATGTCAGAGAAACTTGGCTGAAGTCCCAGTGCTTTCAGTATCTCACTTATGACTACCATTTGGCTTCCCAGAAAGGAGTACTATCTTGTCAAAATCTCCTGCTATTTATAGATAAATGGCGTTCATCAACTAACTTCAATTTCTAAAACCTTAAGAACCACCAGCATCACTCAAGCCAGGAAACCCCGTATGATATTTTTTTACTTATCCCTTGCTGGTATGCAAGAATATTCACACTTGATTGCTCATTTATTCCTATTGCCCTTGGCAGACTTCATGTGGTGACCCTTTCCTACCGAAGGTCCTGTTTATTAAGATATAGCTGATATAGCTGATACAGCGAATGCCTTTAAGCTTGAGCAATTGCTAAATTATGGAGAGTTATAGGTCAGAACAGCCATTGTAGTATTCTAAAAGAGGCAAACCATGGCTGTGCGATGTGACTGATAGCCATAGACCTACGTAAGTACAATTCAGGGATGATGATACATGTCACTCAGGAGCACAGTGCTACCTAGCCTAGGGAGAGCCAGCAGATGAGGTCACCTCAGTACAGATCCAATTTCCATAAACCTTTTAGCATGCACTTATAATGACAATGTAATGGCTAATTTTAAGTGTTACCTGAAAGATGGCTGGGAACCATTGTTTGGATGTGAGTATCATTGTTATCAGAGATGATTGACTCATCTGTCAGTGAACAGGATGAGGAAAATCTATCTTCTAAGTGACAGCAATGTGTAATAAGATGGAATCCAGAGTGGACCAGAAAGGCAAAGGGTGTGTGTGTGTGTATTTTTCTTCCTCTAAATTGAGGTGTCCTTAGACTGAAGATCTTCAGGTCTATAGAATATCAGACTGGTATTTGTGCAGAAAGCATCTCATATGTCTCAGGCCTTTCACCTGGCTCAGAGATGTTGTCTTCATTGGTCTTTGGTCCTTCTAAGTTTCCCATTCTTAAAGATAGCTTATCATAGAAATTAGCATTCATAGTCAAATAGGCCAATTTATGTACTTATCCCATCTAACACTCTTTTGTCTGTCATTTATCTAATCTATCTATCTATCTATCTATCTATCTATTTACATATCTACCTATAATTTATCTGACTTTCAATTAGCTAAGTAAAGTTTGTTATGTGATTTTTATCATGTTAAAATTTTATCATCTATCTGTATATCTATCTATCTATCTATCTATCTATCTATCTATCTGTCTACCTTTATATCTATCTATCATGACTATAAATCCTTGGTTCTGTCTCTTTAAAGGATTTTGACTAATACAGATGGCTTAAACTAAACTAATAAATAAAAACCGAATAAAATATTCTACAA